TCTAATATATCAAGTACTACTTCATCCGTACGACCAGTTCCTTCACGGCGTAAATGGTTTGTTGATTTAAAACCTAGTAAACAGGAACGTTTAACTATTGCTGCGGCAGCAACAGCAAATAATAATGATGGCGCTGTAGCAACGGCTGCGAACGATACTGCCTCATTAACATCTCTTGGTTTTAGTGAACAAAAAGTTGCAGATCTCATACCACAAGAAGATGATGATCGTTTATTAGCAAGACGTTCATGGGATATAGCATTGGGACCTTTAAAACAATTACCAATGAATATGATATTTGCATGGATGGCTGGAAATTCATTTTCACTTATGTCAATTATGATTGTTGTTATGTTATTTCAAAAACCTATACAAGTAAATAATTTCATATTTTTAATTAATTTCATTTCAATTTTCTTTTAGACAATATTTTCGCTTAGTTCGGCATTCGCATCATTAGAACAAGAAGGTGTTGGTGGAAATATATGGTTATTAAAACTTGTCTATTTCTTAGGTAGTTTAACACATTTAGCATTAGCTTTGTATAAATGTCAATCAATGGGTTTATTACCAACTTATAATTCTGATTGGATTGCATTCGCTGATCAACAAACACAAATGGAAGTAACTGCTGGAGGATTTTCATATTTTTAATTAATTATTTTCTGTTCATGATTTCCATTTTTCTTTTGGTGCTTTATGCAAGCAAATAAACTTGCAATAGACATTCTAATCTTTTTCACATTTAAATAATGCAAGCTAAAATAATCTCAATCAGATATAAAACAATGCAATAACACATTAAATCTTTCACATAAACCATTAAAGTTATACATATATTCTTTGATTCATTGTTTCGAAGTCTGTATATTTATAAAATCATAATAAACGTACACACACTGTTTCTTCATTCATCAATGGTACGTTTATTTCTATAAAATAATACTCTATACGAAACAGTTATATTTTCACCTAATGTTTCTTTTCATTGTCAATTCTTTATCTATGTTTGATTTATTGCGTTATTGTTACGATTTACATCATGTAAACAACATTAAATCGTATACTTTTTTTTCTTTCTTTAACTGTTCACTAAATATGAAGGTTACGTATGTGAAAAAAAATAGTTTGTTTCTCTATCGTTAGTCGTATATTCGATTGGTTGAAACGAAATGAAGATAAAAACAAAAAAAAAATCAGATAAATAGATATCGTTATTTATCTCGTTGAATACAAGGTTAGTACGAAGGTTGGTGACTTAATAAAAATATAAGGTATTTCTTTTTTCATATATCTCGAGTACATTCAAGTAACGATTAGATCTATCTGTAACATATAGAAATGTTTTTTATATGAGTAAGTAAATGTAACTAACTGGAAAAATTTCTCTATGCTAATTTCAATCTGTGATCAAAGGCGACTTTTTTTTATTTAGAGTTAGTACTAAAAAATTTAAAAATTGTTTGGAAGGGTATCATAACTGATTTCAGAAGTTTCTAATACTCCACTTACTGGTAGAGATCATCAGATTAATATATTTTCAATAAATATGTTTCGAACGTAAAGCGAAAAAGACGAATTCTACATAACCCGGAAATTTTTAGTCATTAAAATATTATAATCTGCTCAGTAAGATTATCATAATCTTATTCTTCAAGATCATAATAGATTACTTTGACCCAATAAAACATAAGTCATATTGTTTGAAGTGTATCAGTTTTCAATAAAAACTATTTGACTCGATCACGATATACTTCGAATCTAGTATATGAGGGGTGTTATAGTCATATGATTTTTTGATAGTCCATATTGAATATGTAAGGATTAAAGATACGCATATACTCTAATTTAAAACACTAATTTTTAAATATTATAGCCTTTGTAATGTGTTAGATTTTTAGTAATTCAATGTCTTAAATACTTAACATTTACTATGCTTTTTATTTTCAAGATTTATTAGTATAGCTTTTGCAGACAATAATTTTTTTTGCATATTATTATACAATGGCTAAATATAGAAACAATTTACCTCAACTGTTGTCTGACAAATTATTTATTATCAGTGGTGGTCTAGAGACTGCTCTTATTTATAAGGGTGGTATAGATCTTCCTTGTTTTGCTTCATGTTATGCATTAATAAAAGACACTGATCGTGAATGGATGAAAAATCATATAGCGAAATTTGTCAAAGTTGGACAACAATATAATGTTGGCGTTATTTTAGAAACACCAACATGGCGTGCCAATCCTGATTGGATAAACAAAATCGACTTTTCTGGTGAAGATGTGGTCAGTATAAATCGTAAGGCAGTTGATTTAATTAATGATATTCGAAATGAATATCAAACCGAAAAAGTGCCCATAGTTATCAATGGAGTTGT